TGAATTGATAAAAATTCTTCTTGACTATTTGTTTCATCTAATACAAACCCTTTATGTAATGAATTCATAATTAAAAATGTACCTCACTTGCAAATGTGTCCAAAAAGTTTTATAACTCAAAAGCAGAGAACATGCTTTTTGAGCAAAGCTCCCAAGTTGGATCTCTGGGACCCCTTGTTAGCATTATTAACAATGCTGGCCTAGATGGATTAATAATTTCAAATTGTGCTAATCCATAATGTGGTTTGTTTGGTTCTGATTAAGTTTGTTGTGTGACTCCATCATGTATTTTTTTAAACAAACCATGGCTTGGTACTAAGTGAACGTTGGTAATAAAAGGCAGCTTCCTAATTCATGCTTCATTTACCTAGAACTAGCTGCATTTATCCGTCTATGAGCAAGCATGCAGAAATGAAGAGATGAATGTTGAATCTGGCATCCCATAATTGCTTGATCTTCCTCAAATGATTTTAAACCCAAATGATTGGGTTGGAGATAACACTGTAAATGTATTCTATAGATATTGAGTGCTTTCAGAATATTAATGAACTCCAAGTCACATTTGATGGCACAGATGTCATAGTTTGGAAATTAATTTAACCATGTGAGTTCACTCCAATGACACACATTTGTTCCCAAATATATGGTATTTAAGGTTTCAACTTTATTTTATACTTTATTTATTTGGTCGAGTGTGGTTAGACAAGGAATTTGTCTCTGATACAGAAGCATTCAGTATACTTGCAAAACAACAGACTATAATACAACCAATAAAAGGGATAAATAATACTGCAGCCACACCCTATGGGTTAACATTATATATACATTAGGCCAAAAACTTAATAGCCACTGTGTTTTCCCAGCTGCAAGAATTAGCTGTTCAGCAGTGAGATGGCATGAGAAATTGTCCCTGTGTCTAGATTTAGAATACAACGCCCTATAGTGCCATCTCAAGGGAAGGAGTTAAAACAGCTGTATGTATATCCATACAACTTCAGTGTACATAGTGGGGAGAGATATAAAAATAATTCAGTTTGGCTTTATCACCTATAACTTGCCTTCCTATTTTGTTAAATTGTTAGGATTACATTAGAAGCATTTGCCCTTGAAACCTGTACATTGTATATTCAGGGTATAGATCAGTGGTGGGTTCTGGATTCCGTTCCAACCAGTACAGTTGGAATGGCCCTGGCGTCACCCATATGGACGCGTGGAGTGTGCACGCACACGCACATGGTGCACACATGCATCATACTTGCTTGCGATGCTTCCGCAAGCCTCCATGACACTCCAACTGCTTGGCAGAGCATCGTGCAGGCGCCATACGTGCCGTGCATGGAAGTGCCAAGGCTTAAAGGACAGGTAAGGAGCTCGGGTATGTGGGCCCTCCAGAGCACCATACCGGAACGGTACCTGGTGCTCCGGGCAGGCTCTGATATGCCCGTTCTGGGGCGTACCGCCTGCAACCACTGGTATGGATTACCTAGCTTGAAGTTTCTTGCAAGTAAATTCTGGAACCCCCAAAACTTTTTGTGACCTATCAGTAGAAACTAATATAATATTTGATATTTATGCTAAATTTTATTTTTCATTTTTAGTATTTTTAACAAAATGTCGTTATTTGATTAACTTAAAATTGTATTTCATAGCCAAATGCACTTTAAACAGGATACTTTTTCCAGCCATTGAAAATTAAACACATGTCACTTTGTTGTCAATATCAACCTGCAGCCACACAAGTCTGGAAAAAAGTTTGGAATTCTGTCTTACACATAGACCTCAAGATACAATAGTTTATTTAGTGACTGATCAAAGTTATAACGGCACAGAAAAGAGTGACATGGCCATTTTCTACCCTCTGATCATTGCAGCATCTACTTGGTCACATGATTAAAATTCAGAAGTTTGGCAACTGATTCATGACGGTCGAAAAGTCCTGAGGTCTTGTAATCACTTTTTATAATCTTCTGACAAACAAAGTGAATGGGGAAGCCAAAATCACTTAACAACTGGGTTACTAACTGAATAACTACAATGATTCACTTAACAACTGTGGCAAGAAAGGTCGTAAAATGGGGCAAAATTCACTTAACAAAGGTTTAACTTCATAAATGTTGGACTCAATTGTAGTCATAGGTCAAAAACTACTTATATTTAAGGGCCTCAGAGAGAACTTCCTGGAATCTCCAGGATTAGGGAAGATCTTCTCTCATCCTGGAGATTCCAAAAAGTTAATTAGGGAGTGAGGCAGAGGGAATGTTTTCGGGAATCAGTTACATCTGAAAAGATAGGTAAGCATATAAGAATATTGTGTTAAATATGAACTTTGTTTTCCTATGTTAGAACTCAAAGTCCATCTTATTTCTCTGTACTATACAAAATGTACATTGAAGTAAAGTGTGGAAGATCATTAAAGAATGGTCCAACTTGGAAGTGAAAAGAAATTTCCTGGCAGTGAGAACAACTAAATCAGTGGAACAGCTTGCCTCTGGAAGTTGTGGTTGTGCCATCACTGAAGCTTTTCAACAAGGGACTGGACAACCATTTGTCCAGAATGATATATGATCTTCTGCTTCAGCAGAGGATTAGACTAGAAGATCTCCAAGATCCGTTCCAATCTCATTATTCTACTTTATGTTCTATGTCAGTGATGGCAGCCCTTTTAGAGACCGAATGGCAAAACTGCAACCCCAAACCCACTTATTTATCACAAAGTGCCAACATGGCAATTAACCTGAATAATGAGGTTTTACAACCTAAAATAATGATAAACAATGCAGAGTTCAGATAATAAGAAAAATGTGATAAATGCACTTTTATACACCTTTATTTTTTTCTGCTTTTGAAATATTATGTTTAGCAACAATAAAGAAAAGCTTTTGTAATATCATCTTTCCCCTCTCCCTCTCTTTTCCTCCATTTTTCTTTTCCTCCCTCTCTCTGCCTGTTTCTTTCTCTCTTTCCCTCCACCTCCCTCTCTCTCCCTTTCCCTCCCTCTCTTTCTGCTACTGTTTCTCTTTCCCTCCCTATTTCTTTCTCTCTTTACCATTCCCTCCTCCCTCTCTGTCTCCCTATTTCTCTTTCCCTCTCTCCCTCCTTCTCTCTCTTTCCCTCCTTATCTTTCTCTCCCTCCTTCTCTCTGCCTCTTTCTGTTTTTCTCCCCCCTCCCTCCTGGTGGGGGGAAGGAACCACTGAACTGGTGCTGGGTGGTGGGAATGTGACATCTGGAACAGGGGTGGGTTTCTGCCGGCATTACTGCCAGTTCGGTGCTCGTGCAATTTTGTGCTCCGAAGCCCTAGAGGGCAGGACAAGAAACTGGTTGAAAATTAATCAAAAAGAGAAGCAACCTGGAATTAAGGAGAAACTTTTTAACAGTGAGGACAATTAACCAGTGGAATACTTTCCTCCAGAAATCATGGGCACTCCATCACTGGATATTTTAAGAGCCTAGATCAGGGGTGTCAAACTCGCGTTGTCAAATTGCCACTTGACTTCCCCGCCCCTTGCTAAATGGGATGGGCGTGGCCAGTGTGTGGTGCCTGCAGGCAGTGAGTTTGACTCCCCTGGTTTAGACAAGTCACTTTTCTGAAATGATATAGGTCCCCCTGCTTCAGCAGGGGATTGGACTAGAAGACCTCTAAGGTCCCTTCCAGCTAAAGCTTAAGCACAGTATGTTTGCAATGTTTCAGGCTTTTATCTTTCCCTGATTTATCTACCTGTATGTCCCCAAAGTTCATCTCAAGCGGCCTTTGGCATTGTCGGGTGCTCCCCCCCTCTTCCCTCATACAGACAGCGGCTTCCCAGCTAGCGGCGAACTGGGGACGAGCCTGGCTGAACTCGGGGCGGTGCTGGCTGAGTTTGGGATGGCACTTTGCTGGTTTGCCTCAGAAAGTGCTTGGAAAGTTCTGCTGCAGCTTGAACGATCCTGCGGCTTGAACGATTTTGCTGCGTGGGCGGGCGGCATCCGACGGCCTGTGGGGCGGGTGCCCCCCCCCCATGAATGGCGGTCCTCCGGCTATCAACAAGCGGAGGGACACCTTGCTTGGAGGGCAGTACTTTGACGGCTGTGGATGGTCTCTGGGGGTGCTGGTGAACAATCTGTGGGTGCCCCCCCCCTGCAAGCGAAGGCTCTTTTCATCTGGTGGCAGTTTGTTTTGATTTGAGTTTGTGGCCCTGTTTTTCACTGGCGGGACGTGGCTGGGCCGGCTGCTGCCCTAGGGGGTTGGGTGGGGTTGGCGAATTTACCACTCTGCACTGTGGATCTGTGCGACTGGCCTTCTCG